TTGGTCTTCCCTATTTTCTCAGGGGCTGAGTAGGTAACCTTTAACCTTTTTGGGCTTATATGACCCTACTATAATTCAAAAGGTTAACTTTTTTGGGGCTAGGGTACTCAGCCCCTAAGTTTTGGTCTTCCCTATTGTTAGTTATATCATGATATGCCCTTTAAACTCGTCATGCCCTTAAAGTAGGTTTGTGCGGCTTTATGATGTGGGGCCAGCTTCCAAGCCCCGAAACAGGACGGGTGGCCTCTCCATGAACCCGGTCGGGAAACGAACCAACACGACAAAGGATTGAGTAGGGCCAGCGTTTTGGAGAATGCTTTCAGAACCCGTTTCCGTACACCCCAGCAAGGACTTCGGGTATACCGCTTACATGAACCTTCTGCCTTGATCCTAAGGCAAGGCAATGGGCGACGACAGGCGCACTTTCTGCCGTGACAGTGGGATCCTTGTGGTATTTCGGTTGCTGCAACCGTTAGGGTACCCTAAACCCTAGACCCTAAACCCTAAACTAGGTCTTACATGCGGAATCCACCGCCTTGTAACAGGCTTAGAGAAACGACGACGAAAATCCCTACGAGCCCCGTGGAGAAGATGAGTCGGAGTGTCTTGCTCGTAGCGATGCTTCGGCGTAGGGCTCCCGGACATCCCAGCTCTTGTGCAGTCTCCTGACCCGTTTAGGGTCAAGGGTTTAGGGTTAAGGGTTTAGGGTCTAGGGTCTAGGGTTTAGGGTTTAGGGTTAAGGGTTTAGGGTTCAGGGTGCATTCTTTGATCGGGTTACTGTCGGGTGTTAAGCCGGGTCTCCCGAGTCCTCTTCTTGGGAACGGAGCCCGGCAAGAGAAGCCGGGGCGCTGGAGTCCAGTCTACGCTCGAACCTTAAGCTCCAATTGGAGCTTAAGGTTTGAGGTTTAGGGTACCCTATACCCTGAACCCTAAACCTTGAACCCTAAACCCTATGGTTCAGGGTTGAGGGTTCAGGGCATACTACAATACCGAAAAATCTTGCGACCCAAGGGGACGCCGAGTCAAGCCACAAAACCCAAATACCCTAAAACCCTGGAGTCCAAGACCGTGAAACCTATAGGGGTTTAGGGGTTTAGGGAAACCTATAGGGGTTTAGGGGTTTAGGGAAACCTATACGGGTTTAGGGGTTTAGGGAAACCTATACGGGTTTCGGGGTTTAGGGTTTAGGGTTTAGGGTTCTTTTTAGCCCAGAACCTAAAGTTACATTCCCCATCCTTCATCCCATGACCTGGAACCCTGAGCCCTCAATCCTAACCCAGAGGGTCCACATATACTACCAGTATGGAATTAGGTCCCAAAAGACCATCCTTATTATGGTTTTGGGGACCTAATTCCATAATGGCAGTATATGTGGACCCTCCGGGTAACAGCCCTGTGCATTGAGCCGAAAATCCTGTCAGGAATGGCGCAACACCTTGGTTTCTACTGGAAAGTGGCCAGGACTTGTTTTCAGCCCTTCTACGACTGCAAACGCGAAGCCCGCTCAATATAGGGTGAGGTCCGATATAATGAGAGTAGTGGTTTGGGATGTGTTGGGGCGCATGACCCTTTACTCCCTTTAATCCCCAAACCCCAAACCAATGTGTGATGTGATTGTATCGTGACTGGAAAAGCCACCACTGCTAGTCATTCACACCTCTACCTGGGCTTTCGGTGCAGGGTTTGAGGAGAAACCCTAAACCCTAAACCCCCTTTCGCAGGAGCGACGAGAGGCGCTCTTAGATCCTGCCCGAGCTTGGCACAACATGCGCTGCTGGGTGGACAAGGCGCCCCGGGGTGTAGGGCTTACCTGTATCCCCAAACTCTACAAAATAGTAGGTTATGACCCAACCCTTAAAACGGTAGGTTTTTGGATCCACAGGTAGGGTTTAGAGTTTAGAGGTTTCAAGATGGCGAAGTGACGGTTACGCCTTGATTTCTACACACTGACTGCCATCGCAGGAAGGCACAGGAGAGGGAAATTTCAAGACATCTGATCAGCCCAAGATCTGAAAACCCTGCTAAAACCTCAAGGCCCAAGCCAGAAAGAGCTAGCTTTTGCAAAACAACTACAGTAAAGAGTGTACAGTATACACCCGAGACCGCCCGAGACCCGAAGCGTTCAAGCCTGCAGCCTCAAATCCCTGAACCACCTGCAGGAACTGCAGCAGATGAACCCCAAAATAAACCGTAAGCCCTGCGACCCTGCAAGGCTTGCGCACACCGAGGCCTTGTTGTCGGGAGCCAGCGGTGTTATACTTGGTAAAAGCATAATTAAGCGTCACTTCAGGGTTTACCTACTATAGAGGGCCGAATATTATTCCTGGTGTCTTTGTTATCATTCTTATTACTTTAATCCCATAATGTACCCTAAGGCCCTATTCCAGCTATCAAGGCCACTATAGTAGACCCTAGAACCTAGGACCTTTTTCCCCACCCTCGGTGTGGGGTTGTTAGATTTTAAAGTCAGCTATTACTCTTCGCACGCTGAAACTATTACTCCTCGCCCGCTGAGACTATACCTCCTGGAGTGCCCAACTCCACCGACTAGCGTGAGAGTCCCGTGAGACTCACTAGAGTGCAGACTCCCTGGAGTGCCCAACCCCAGACTACCGTGAGGGTGGGGATGTTCGAAGTAAAATAATTTGGATAACGTAGTTTATGGTTAGGACACATTTAATAACAAACCCGAAAACGGTACTACATCTTCCGGTCTAGCATAAGCCCTAAATCCTAAACCCTAAACCCAAAACCCCAAAACCCCTAAGCCCTAAACCCCTAAACCCAAAACCCCTAAACCCCTAAACCCTAACCCTAGGTAAGGTGTAGGGAAACCTGGAACTTAGGTTTTACTGCTTTTTTGGGTTTAGGGGTTTAGGGTTTTGGGCCTAGGCTTTACTGTTGTTTTGGGTTTAGGGGTTTAGGGTTTTGGGCCTAGGCTTTACTGTTGTTTTGGGTTTGGGGGTTTAGGGTTTGGGGGTGTAGGGTAGTGGTTTGTAAGGTTCATAAGCATGGTAGCTCGTATCAAGAGGGAAAATGCTCGGAAAGCAGCGCAGAAGACTCCATCCATTGGCAGATTTGGATCAAGCCCGCGAGTTCCTTCTCTCAGGCTACACGGAGGTCCACTTCCGGGTCTGGAGAGGTATCGAGCCGATGAAGCTTCTCTGCGCGCGGAATGCCGAACAGCACGAGGGCATCATGAAACTCTACCTCGCCTACGAGGACGGCTGCGAGGAAGAGGGCCTGCTCCGTCCAGCAGGAACCGGCTGCACCGGACCCCTGTTCGCGTTTGC